TCCCTCCTTTTATATCTTCTTCCCACTTTCTGAAAGGCTCTTTTGCTGTGACCTGGGTCAAACAGTTCCCACTGTGTAGTGCTATCTCTGAGAATCCCTGGGGCAGTCCTTGTGCTTGTGTGCCTTTTCTCAATAAGCCATTAACATTGTTTGGCCTTTTTACTGTTGTACCTGAAAGGCTGCTTGTGGGTGTTTTCAACCTCGCATCATGTTTCAGTAACACAGACACAGCCAAACTTCATAACTCCACATACAGCAAGAGCACATACCATCCAACAAGATATTAATGTCTAGCAGATCAAGACTTTTAGAATGATACCTCACAAGGCATACTTTGTACAAAACACATCCTAATTACATGACAGTGGTGAATACTGGTGTGCCCTGGTGTCACAATGTGCTTCATGCCATTGTGTACTGGAGAGTAGCTGCTCTACATAGACACAGACCATTAAGTGTGATCCATACTATGGAAAGGTTTGAGACCTCCTCTGTGTACTGTCCACAGCTTGGGGCTCATTTTGTTTAGGGAAATGCGATAGTCCCATAGAAAATGAATGGGCTGGAAAGACAAGCCACAGTGTGTGTGTGTGTGTGTGTGTGTGTGTGTATATATATATATGTGTGTATATATATATATACTGATTGGCACGCCATGATAGGCACAAATTAGGACCCGTATAAGAGTTCTTAGTTGTTTGTCACTTGTTTATGCAGAGAGAAGATTCAAAAGAAGATATCTTTGGTAGATGGCACATTATCCACCATCTGCTGTTTGTGAGCAAGGGACAGCAACTGCGAATGTCATAACAGCATTTATTTTGGAATCTCCAGCAGACTGTGTGACAAGAATAAGCTGGGTAAGTGTCCTGAGAGTTTACAATCTTCCCTTTGCTGACTGTGGCTAAGATTTTCAGAAGCAACTAGTGATTTTGGCTGCCTCAACTTTGGGTGCTCAGTTTGAAACATTTGTAAGCGGTTCTTCTTTTAAGAAAGTGGTGAACAGTCCTTCTGAAAATCAAGCCCCTTTTAAGGTGTCTAAATAAGGCACCCAGAATCGCTAGTTACATTTGAAATTATTGTTGTGATCTTATCCCCTGGAAAAGGGCTTTGGATTGTTTACCTTTTTATCTGGTGGGGATTTACTTTGGCCAAAATCATAACAATCCCAGAAGGAAAGCAACAGGAAAAAGTGAGCAGGCAAGGACATTCACATAAACATCACAGTCTGTTTCTAAAATTAAATGGACAGGGTGCCATTTCCTAATTTATTATTCCTTCCTGTAATCATACATCAGGCTGGCTCACACTGCTGCTGGAGAGAGAGGTATTTTCAAAGGCAGGCTTTCCCTGAGAATAGGGGGGTCAGCATTACATGGCAATAATTTTCTTTTAAGTTCTCTGGTTTCTTCTTTCATTGCAGGGTAATGAATCCAGTGCAGGTTCACACTTCAAATAAACTCACAGCTTATGTGCTGTATTCATTCATTTAGAAACCTATTTCACATTCAGAAATAATGGGGCCCACTCCACATATGAACAATGATGGGATCGGGTTCTGGATTGAGGCTGGGATATTCTAAAGGGCCTAAGACAGTTGGGTACCCAGCTCTGACTGACTTTCAGTGAAAGTTGGGACCCTACCTCCCTTTGGTTCCTTCACTCAGTCCAGGCTTTGCTAGCTGTCTCTCTCTATAATGGTCTGAACCAAAACCCTGGATCCCAGCACCCCCCCTAACTTTGGGTGATGATCAAGATCCAGATCTAGATTTTGTGGAATAAGCCCTCCACTGCTAGCACTTCCAAGGAAGAGCAATGCACACTGGGACTTGAATGAAGCTCCCCAGGCAACAGCATCTTTGAACCAGCATCAGTGTTGTGCTCTGTCCTCCTTATTTATTATTTGTATCTCAGTAACCGCTAGCAGCTCCAGCTGCGATCAAGACCACATTGGGATGCATGCTGTACAAATGAGTAGTAAAAACCCAGTCCCAAAGATCCCCCAGTTTAGCTTGTGACAAGATTCTACAAGTGGATGGAAACCCAGTGGCGCAAGAGAGGATGAAGTAGCATTAAAGGGAATCAATTATCACACTGCAAGCAGTAGTCTCAGCTCGCTATGACAGGGGTCACAGAAATGCATCACCACACGTAACCTCTCCACTCCCTTCCTCCCCCCCACCACACCCTTTGCTGTGCTTGTTGATATGGCAGCATCAAAGTAGGGGCTCTACAATATATTTTGAGTGGTTCAGCTCTGAAGCTCAAACTGACGTACCAGTTCTAAGGGTGCATAACCGGACACTTTATGTACTGCTCCGGATGGTTGGTTGGCAGGCGATTGGATTTCAAATGCATTTGGCACTTTCTGATGCCTCCCTGAGGTAGTGATATAAAATCTAGGCTTGTGAAGAACACTGTGTTCATCCTGTTGTTTCTTGGCTTGACCTTTGCTACTGTCCCTGACTTGGCTTGAGGCCAATCTATTTTTGAGAAGATTAACAAGAAGTTCAGAAAGTGGTAAATCAGCCTCCGGACACACACAGCGAGAGTGCGTGTGTGTAACTAGTGCTATTGGAGAGCAGTCTGAGCAGCAGGATTCATGGTAATAATTCATTGCTGTATAGGTTAAAGTGCACCCCACTAAGGTTTGGCAACATTGAATGGCTCCTTCACCTTTATTACGCCAGCACATAAGAGACTGTAGGTTCCAGTATGCAATGTTCCACTTTGTCCAAGTGGAAGGTCACATAGACCAAGCTGGAGCACTGACTGCTAAGATCTGTATCTCCCTGGATCATGCCTCTGTGATGAAGAGGGATGTAATCTGCTCCCTTTTATGCAAATTAGACATGGGCTTGAGCTCATGGCCAAGTATAGTCCTTGACTGGGCAAAATGTGGACACCTATATTCTAATGTACATGGGCAAGCAGCATCTTCCTGACAGATGAAAGGTTTTAAGTAAATGCTATATTCTTGCAGTTGCGATGAACCAACACTACATCTTGCCTCCTAGCACCACTGAAATCTAATGTAAATGCCACTCACTGTTCAAACTGTTCAGATGAGCCCTGTAGAAGGGGCAAGTATTTCTTTCTTCAGCAATGATGATTCTCTTCCACCATCTCCAGCTTGAAAGGTTGACACTGAGCTCACAAACCTCCTCCATGAATCAATTTTGTAATGATCATGGCCCAAGCGTTTAAACTTGATCAGAGGTAGAAAGAAAACAGAAGAGACTGTGTAGGGTATCTGATCGAATGGTTGATGGAGAGACAGATTTACAGGTCATGTCCCCTATGGTAGTTGTCCAACAGCTTTCCTTTACTTTGGGTCAAAATCTCCTGCTGACTCCAAAAATCCTCTTCGAGTTGGGCAATCCTCCATTCATGAGAATTTTTCCTTAATGTGATATCATTACACACCCAAATCTATCAGCTCAAGGAAACTCCCAGGCAGCTTTTGTTGATATGTTGGATCTTATGGCTCTGACCTGTACAAGTACTGTATAGCCTAAAACAAAGTCAGATCTAAGCCATTTGTATTTGAAATGCAGTCCCCATGCTGAAAGCGTCAGATCTATATACATCGAAGCGAACAAGACTCGTTCTGAAAAAGCTGTGGTGGTGCCCGTTGGAACCCGTTACTCATTAATGCTTAATTCTTAGCACTACTCATTGCTTACATAATTGGTAAGGAAAAATGGGGAGGTGAGCAGTTAGAGAATTCACAGGAAGCCAAGGTTAAACAAAGCCAAATTCTTGCTGAGGTCGCCGTTTTATTTAGAGGAGTCTTATCCAAACAAATCAGGGACGCCTCAGGCCATCTTAGCAGGCTCAACTCCAAACCAAGAAGATAAAGCCAGAGCAAACAACCAGAGCAGCTTGTATTTCCAGAGC